GGTTTTACTATATTCGTGATTAAAAATTCATGTAATTCGAATCATCTTTCTAATTTAAATTTAATCTCTTCGTGACAAAAACTATGATTTCTTCTAAATGCATAGACTTGTTCTGTATGCTTACCTGAGGCCCACGTTTGGCCCAAATTTCATCTAGGGTTTTTGTATTTACTGACAGGCAGCCGCAGGCCCGCAAGTGATGAGGAAACCTTAACTGTGCATCAAAACAATGACGATGACGATCTCTGATCTTCCAAGGGATCTTCTAAGCGAAATTGTCTCTAGAGTTCCTTTGAGATCTATGACAAAAGTGCGTTTAACTTGCAAAAAGTGGGACACTTTATCGAAAAGTGAGATCTTCAGGAAGATGCACATGTCTAAGGAAGCAACAAGGGGACCAGGGGAGTCTCGGATGGTCGAGTTGATGGATTTCAAGCTTCATTATATTAGCGTGTTCGTCGAAGATGTTGATCATCCATATACAGAGTCTAAAGGTTGCTTAAACTTAGATGTTTCAGATCAACAAGAACAAGTAAAGATATTTCAAGTCTTTCACTGCGAGGGATTATTGTTATGCGTCTTAGAAGACACTTATCGGCTCGTAGTTTGGAATCCGTATTTGTGCGAAACAAGGTGGATCGAGCCACCACCTAGTTATTCTTGTCGCTGCTGCAGTAAATGGGAATGGGACATGTACAAATATGCTCTAGGTTACGTGCATAACAAGAAATCACACAAAATCTTAAGGATTATGGATCCCCTCCATGAACCAAGAGTCAACTATTTATCGTATGAAATATACGATTTTGAGTCTAATTCATGGAGGACTCTTGATGTCGGTAATCCACACTGGTCTATAATGCAACGTGAATATGGCGTTCCTCTCAAGGGAAACACTTATTGGCTTGACTACCATACGTACAAAGATCGCTTAGTCTCTTTTGATTTTACAAAAGAGAGATTTGGACCGCTTCTTCCTTTGCCGCTTCCCGAGGAGGAGGAGGAACGTGATGTCTATGTGGATCTATCTTGTCTTAAAGAAGAGAAGCTTACCGTTTTGTTACAGTTTCAACAACCTTTGGAGTTTGAGGTATGGGTTACAACTACCATTGACCCCGATAATGTGTCGTGGAGCAAGTTCTTGAAAGTCGATACGGGACCAGTCGTGGCAGACCCCCCGTTTGACATTTTATACTCATCTGCTGGTTTATTCATTGACGAGGAGAAAAAAGTCGCCATGGGTTTTGCTAAAGGGAGTAGTGACAGTCGCTACTCACTTTACATCATTGGAGATGCTGGATTCCTTAGACAAGTGGATATCCTTCACATAGAACGTGTCCGTGGCCGATATGGTTATGATGGTGTGTGCTCTTATTATGTTCCTAGTTTAGTGCAAATCAAGAAGCCACCTTTAAGACACCTTGAAATACGTCCATATGAACAAAACAAGTTGAGACTTGATGAGAAGGGATCGGCAAAAAGGACAAGAAGAACATGATCAGTCTCGATTTATTTATGTCTTTTTCAATTACATTCCTCTCTTTCAACAAGACT